TGAATTATGCATTTTGTTAATTTACTTTTTATGTTCTACTATTACTGATGCTTTAACAAACTGGCTATTTTGAACAGATAGTTTCTCTAAATACACTGACTATCCGTTACTTAAAATATTAAGGAAACTTTAAAAAAGGAATTAATACAATTCATTTGTTTTATTTTCCATATTAAAATAAAAATAAAAACACGTGGTACAAGTTTTCATCCACGTTCGACAAAGAAGGCATAAAATAGTAAGAGTACTTTAACAAGAAAAATTGGTATATGAAATAATTTCGCCTCGGTCGTTACTTTATCAAACGAAAGATGTATATTTAAAATATTATTATCCTAATCCACAACTAGCGCGATTAGTACTCAAACAAACAGTTCCTAGTGTACTAAAAGCCGATACACTTTATAGGTACAATATCACATTTTAAGGTTTGTTGTTTAGTCCAAATAACATAATCGGCTGTCTGCGCTATGCTCATCGCCTTCAGACTTATTCCTGAGCCACGGGGGCGCAACATTTTATAAGAGCCTATAATTCAATTAGGAGTGAAATGAATAACTCATCAGCGTGAAATATCATAACTAAATATTAATACGTTCCTCCTTTTTTTCTTTGGAACAAACTGTAAAGTATAAAATTTAAAAGCTCGTTGTTTGCTAAATATATTTTAAAATAGTTTACTGCTCATAATATTTCAGGATTCAACTTCATGCGACGTCTCCTCACAGTCAAAGTTTTGGAAACGTAATAACGGGATTTGTTGGCCCTTAACTAGATATAGCTTACGAATAACACAATATAGATTACTTTAAAACCCGAATGTACAACAAATTAATATACAGTATGTTAATACAGTACAATTTAACCTATATCAAAGAAAAACAAATACTAAATCTGGTTGAGACATTCGCTAGAATTTAATAGCAGCGTTGTATCTATAAAATCGTCATACAACTTACCACAAAACAGATTCCTCCTGTGGGAGAGAAAAGTCTAATGACTTAACAAAGCTAAAATCTGGGGTTCGATCCCCCATTGTGTCTTTTCTTTAAAATAAACAAACAAAAGACTAAAATAGTGTAGTTAAAACACGTGGTGCATGTTAAACTTTATTTAATCATGACTGACACGGACAAATAAAATCGTCTGATGATTTAGGCTTAGCTTTTTATTAATATTTTTTGTAGATAGTGAATTATTGTTAATAGGATTTACATACTTGATATCAAGAAATATATATATATATATATGAAAATCAAATAAATGGAATGACAGAGAACAAAATGGAAAACCTAATTTGTTCTAATCGTAAATAATATAATTTAAACTCAAGGATTTAGATTTGTTTGGTTTGAATTTCGCGCAAAGCTACTCGAAGGCTATCTGCCCAAACCGTCCCTAATTTAGCAGTGATAGACTAGAGGGAAGACAGCTAGTCAACACCACCCACTACCAACTCTTGGGCTACACTTTTACCAACGAATAGTGGGATTGAATGTAACATTATAATGTCCCCACGATCATGTTCGGTGACTGGAATTTGAACCCGCGACCTTCAGATTACGAGTCGAGCGCCCTAACCACTAGGCAAACTCAAGGAAGGGCAATAAAGGAGCCGTAAATGTGAAAACGTTTGACACAAGTCAAGTTGGTCTTTACGTTATTATTGATTTAGCAGTGGTTTTTAAAGACCATTGAATGATTATTTATGAAGTCATGACACTCATTTTTAATATTAAAATTGACAAAAACAGACTAGCTTTTGTGTGACGACTTTACAGTTATGATACTTGTAAGGTATCCACCAGTGGTACAGCAGTACGTCTGAAGGCTTATAACACTAAACTCTGGGTTTCGATACCTGTGGTGGGCATAACACGGATAGTTCATTGTATAGCTCTATGCTTAACTTAAAGACACAAAAAACTTGTAAGGTAAACGTGCCCGTTACTTAATTATTTTAGGAAACTGTTTGAGTAATATTAGTAATTTGGGACATTTCACACTCCATAAATATACCAAAGCTTACTAACGGTATTAATTAAGTTAGGGCTAGCAATCAGCATAACTTCCACGTTGATAGGTATTCCTTTTCGCACACTATTACTCCTTAGGCCTGCTAAACCCACCTTAATAGTTTAATATCAAGCTTAGACTTGGACATAACTTCTGCGCATTTCATATAGGCTTTACATAATAGGCCTAACTTACTCGCATTCTACCATTATTCTTACACTTAGGTATAGTATCGGACTTTCCGTATTGATAGCTTATGTGGTGCTCCCCCAAGGTTGCGCGGAAAGTCTTTAGGGTGAGCGTAACTATGACTGTAGGAGCATATATGTTATATCTGAAAATACAAATTTAAAAATAAAAAGGTTTTTGAAACTACCGTACAATTAACATGGGAAATTAGCATGCATAGCACATACACTAATAGGTTGTGCAGGCTGCAGGGAGGGGGGGGGGGGTGCAACAATACACGTGTTTAGAAAGGAGGGGTCTATAAAAAGTTTGTAGACAACAATGATGGCTACGTGCCGTCCGCATCATATATTGTCCGTTGGGAAGCTTACTGGGTCTACTTGAACGTTATAATGTTAGCATGAGGCATAGTTTTCTTCTTGGCAGCTAACCACACTTCATCCATTTACTGTCGCTCACTAAAGTTACCAAAAATGTTCGATTCTTATGAATGGTGTTCTGTAAATGGACGGATATATATATATATATTGTTAGGCCTACGTTGATCTTAAAAAAAGCAGTATCGTCGTTAAGTAATATTTTGTTTCTCTTGATATAAAATATATATTGTTAGGCTTATGTTGATTTTAAAAGCAGTATCGTCGTTAAGTAATATTTTGTCTCTCTCTTGATATATATTGTTAGGCCTACGTTGATTTGAAAAGCAGTATCATCATTAAGTAATATTTTGTCTCTCTTGATATATATTGTTAGGCCTACGTTAATTTAAACAAGCAGTATCGTCTTTAAGTAACATTTTGTCTCTCTTGATATAAAATATATATTATTAGGCCTATGTTGATTTTAAAAGCAGTTTCGTCCTTAAGTAACATTTTGTCTCTTTTGATATATATTGTTAGGCCTACGTTGATTTAAAAAAACAGTATTTTCATTAAGTGATGTTTTGTCTCTCTGGATATATATTGTTAGGCCTACGTTGATTTAAACAAACAGTATCGTCCTTAAGTAACATTTTGTCTCTCTTGATATATATTATTAGACCTA